ATGTCCTTCCCCAGGGATGGGTCTCCCCTGACAACAAGGCCAGCGTATTTGAGGCGAAGTCTCACCATCCTTGGCTCTAAAGAGCACTCTGGCCACACTTCTTCCAAGACAGATTCGTTTTTCCCTTTGGCCGTCTGTGATACTCTCAAAATTCGTCACTAGCACATTGCGAACACGTCAGTTCTTCGTTCCCACCCCTTATTCAATGTTTAACTGTCATATGCACATGCAGGGATTGAAAACACGGTGGCTCGAGTCGGGCCCACCTTCATCCTCAAAGTGGCACCCTTGCTCTTCAAAGCCATCTCTAAAGCCATCTTACAGCAGATTTACCTTATGCAATGTGTCATTTGATTTCTCGACTGCACCTCCATAAGCATTGCTTGTGGACCCAAACCAGATGAAATCTCTGACAATTTAAATCTGGTCTACATTTATCATGATGTCACCAATTGGTCTAGTTGTGAGGACTTTGGTTTTCTTTCCACTGAGTTGCATCCACATGAAAAGCTCCCATCCCTGCTCTTCATCAGCAAGTGCTGCAAATGCTCCTAGCTTCCAGCAAGCAAGGTTCTGTGATCTGTATATGGCAGGTTAATTCGCTTTCCTCCAGTCCCGACGCCATGTTCTTCACGCAGTCCACTGTCTCAGACCATTTGGTCAGCATGCAGACTGAATAAGTATGGTAAGAGGACACAACCCTGACACACACCTTTCCTGACTTTATACTGTTCTGTTGGAATGACTGTCTCATAGCCCATGTATAGGTTCTGTATGAGCACACTGAAGAATTCTGGAATTCCCATTCTTCTCAGTGCTATCTATAGTTGGCTATGATCCATACAGTTGAAGTCCTTTGTATAGTCAATAAAACACAAGTAAACATCTTTCTGGTATTCTCGGCTTTCAGCCAAAATACTGATGTTGGTAATGATATCCTTGTCCTCTTTTGAATTCAGCTTGAATTTCTGGCAGCTCCCTGTCGATGTACTGTTGCAGCCATTGTTGAATTATCTTCAGCAAAATTGTATTTGTATGTAATATCAATGATAGTGTTCAGTAATTTCTGCATTCTGTTGGGCCATTCATATTTGAAATACATACAAATATGGATCTCTTCCAGTTCATTGGTCAGGTAGTTCTCTTCCAAATTTATTGACTTAGGTGAGTGAGTGCTTCCAGTGCTTCACCAGTGTGATAGTTCCACAATCTAGTGTCAATTTGAGGATTAAGAGTGTAGGGGTGGAGTTAATCAGGATATGGCCAATGAGGCCTCTGTGTGGGCATGAACTTCTCCTGAGAATTCTGGCAAATCCGGTACTTCCTCCCTGGAACAGGAGACACTTCTCTCTCCCTGCCACTCCCTGGGGGACATTGCAGCTGACAAGACACATGGAACTACACTAGTGCCCTAAATTGGAGACGCCACATGGACCTACCCTGTTGCAATCAGACCTCTGAAGCCGGAGAAGCCACGTAGAGACCCCTGCCAGCGCTGAGATGCTTACAATGCCACTGGATCCAAAGACTTTCTACCCACTGGTCTGTGATGGTCCTGCATTCGGCGACATTGCATGTGTTTCATCAGTCTGAAGAGGATTTATAGATTGGTATCAGACATATAGGCTAGTATCGGACTTATGGACTCGATCTGGACTGGGTTGGGATGCTTTCTCAATGTTCAATTCCTCTAGTATATCAATCTCTTTCTTATACACATACGTGTGTCCATGGATTTGCTCCTCTAGTCTACCCAGACTAACATAATCAGCTCATTGAAATATTTCACTTGGATCCTGTCAATTCATAGAGTCTTGTTTTACAGGAATACCTTCAGTGCAGCCTGGATTTCTTTCTTCGGCATCATCAATTCTCAAGCCTATGCTACCACTTGAGAGGGTTGAATATCAACTCGATCTTTTTGGTACAGAAGCTATGCACTCCTTCCATTTTCTTTTGATGCTTCCTGCATTATTCAATATTTTGGCCATAGAGTCTTTTAATATGGAATCCTAATGCATTTTAAGCGGGTGTGGGTAGAATATCATTGTAGCATGAACACCAAAAATATGCTGCAGCCCATTTGCAAACCTTGGGACCTTAACATCCAGTCCATTTCCATTTCTTAGAGAGAATTAACTGTTTTAATTGTCGGTCTACATACCCATTTGCCTTATTAGAGAGTGCTCAGGTGACATAAACTCCCACTCAGACAAGAGCAGAGACTAAATGACAGATGAGACACACACTAACTACCTTTTCCTTTACATCTGCTGCTGAAAGAGCTCAGATGAAAAGATTAAAGATACAGAGGAAGGAACAGAGGCTGTGGACCAAAGAAACAAGAATTCAAGGAACGCGTCTTTAGTTTACTTCTTTGGTGGCCGGAGTGTCACCCAGCTTCATTCAGACTCCACTCTCTTATTTATTTGTCCACTCAGTCATTACGTCATTAAGTGCTTTTTGAATGCAGGGCATATGTCTGGCTATATCAGGGAATAAAGCACACATGAATGTGCCTTTGTGGAGTTTACATTCAAATGGAAGGAGATAAACTACTAGCAATAAATGTAACCTATAAGCAAGCAATGTGGCACCTGTATAGCAAGAATTATGGTATCAAATTTCACTGGGTTGTTGTGATGTTAACGACATAATCCATGAGTCATGCAAAGAACATTGAATGGTTTTCAAATATTGTTGCGATTTTTATTTTTAAAATCACTCCTAGTTTTCTTTACATTCTTTAAACATTGTGCAGTTGGCACTGAGGTGTTATTTATGCACCGAACAAATATCAATTGAATATCTATTTTATGCTAGAATCTGGACCAGGCCCAAGGAAGGTGAGTAACGGCTGCAGGAAAGCTTGGTCCCTGCAGCAGAGTGTCAGTCTGATCTCCTGAGGGGTGGATGAGAGGTCCTGCGGAGCTCAGAGATAGGAGGGACTGTGCTGTCCTGGGTTCCCATGAACCAGAATACTGAACTCCACTGATGATGTCTTTCTTTCACTCAAAGGATCCCTACAATGGCCGGTGATTCTAGGAACGCTATGAACCAGGACATGGAGGTTGGAGGCACTCCCAGGGACCCTAAGAAGATTCCCAAACAAGCTCGAGATTATGTCCCTGTTGCCACAGACCGCACTCGCTTGCTGGCAGAAGGCAAGAAGCCCCGGCAACGCTACATGGAGAAGAGTGGCAAGTGCAACGTACACCACGGTAATGTGCAGGAACCCTGCAGGTACCTGAGCGACCTCTTCACCACCCTGGTAGACCTCAAGTGGCGCTTTAATCTGCTTGTCTTCACCATGGTCTACACCATCACTTGGCTGTTCTTTGGGTTCATCTGGTGGCTTATTGCGTACATACGCGGCGATCTGGACCATGTGGGTGACCAAAACTGGATTCCATGTGTTGAAAATCTCAGTGGTTTTGTGTCTGCTTTCCTTTTCTCCATCGAGACGGAAACCACAATTGGATATGGCTTCCGGGTCATCACAGAGAAGTGCCCGGAAGGGATCATTCTCCTCTTGGTCCAGGCCATCCTCGGTTCCATCGTCAATGCCTTCATGGTGGGGTGTATGTTTGTTAAGATCAGTCAGCCAAAGAAGAGAGCTGAAACCCTCATGTTTTCCAACAACGCCGTCATCTCCATGCGCGACGAGAAGCTCTGCCTCATGTTCCGGGTGGGTGACCTCCGAAACTCCCACATCGTGGAGGCCTCCATCCGGGCCAAGCTCATCAAGTCCCGGCAGACAAAAGAAGGAGAGTTCATCCCCTTGAACCAGACTGACATCAATGTGGGCTTTGACACTGGGGATGATCGTCTCTTCCTGGTGTCACCACTCATCATTTCTCATGAGATCAACGAGAAGAGCCCGTTCTGGGAGATGTCCCGCGCTCAGCTGGATCAGGAAGAGTTTGAAGTTGTGGTCATTCTGGAAGGGATGGTGGAGGCCACCGGTAAGATACTTCATCCTCCTGGCACAAAATTCTCTGACCACACTAAATTACTTAGGCCACTGTGATTGCAGAAGATGGCATGGGCACAATCAACCAACCCAAACAGTCCTTAATTATAGTTGCTCAAAATATCATAAGTGGCACTTATTGAACCCTTACTAATTCCCATGCACTCTTCTAAATATTAAACACAACTTGTCTCATTGAATTCCATCCTTCACCTCTGAGAGTGTTCATTACAGACAGAGAAACAAAGGTACATGTGTGTTAAATCATTGCCCAAGAGTAAGAGCTAGTAGGTGACAGAGCCAGGGGCCCAATCAAAACAGGGCAAGTCCAAAGTTGGGAACATTTTTTCCCAACATTCCGAGTGTTTCCTGGAACAGGTGTTCTACCTAGAAAGGATTCTATTATCAGGAAGCAATGGGCGATACTGCGTTAAGTGAAGGAGAACTGGTTTTTCTCCAGTAGGACTCCCTGGTGTCATTATACATTAAGACTCCCTTCATGAGGAAAGGGCTGTGCGGCACAGTTCCCCAAATCCAGGTGATTCCCTGCAATGTTCTTTTTGGAGTGGCGCCTATTCTGCAGATCTGTGGTAGCTGCTCTACTAGCCCGGGCCCTTCTGGAATAGTCCGTCCCTGAGTTCTCCTTCAGAAACATGTCTAAAGGAACCCTGGACTGCCCAAAGCTTCTTCCTGCAAGACCACTGCATTCATGCGGAGGCCTCAACTTCTAGAGACCCCCGAGAAAGTGCCCTCTTCCTAGCCAGCCTGGAACATTCTGCTCAGCTACTGATGCTGAGGCCACCACCATGCCTTAGCCCTTCAGCCAGGGCACATCTTGATGAGAGGACTCCAGGAAGCGATGAGGTTCTAAGAGCCACAGTTCTGCCCCACCAACACGGAGCCAAGCTCCCCAGGAAAGGTGTCCTCCCACAAACCTGAGGCCTGCTTCTTATTTTCTTTCTTCTTTTCCATTTTCTGTCAGCAAGAAGACTGATGCCTCACATCAGCTCTGGCCCTAACAACAGTTTTTAGAAAACTCACTCATACTCAGAGTGATACAGAGATATTTTTCTGATTCTTGTAACAACACTGTAGGGCTGGTCTAGTTCCTATTTCACAGATGTTGCTCAGTCATACTCAGATTTGGGGTTTTTATTAACAAATCAGGAGCTTTTCCCACAACATGGCTCAACCCAAAACCAACCCCAATGCCAAGGGACACATAGCAACCCTATAGGAGGCAGACTGCCACATCTTTCTCCTGCAGAGTGACTGGTAGGTTTGAACCACTGATGTTTCAGTTAGCAGGCTAGCACGTTAACCACTAGACCATCAGGACTTCCTTACTGTATAGCGCATTGATGGCTGAAATATTAGGAACTGTCAGGAATGTGGCTACACGGTAGTTTTTTGGGAAGCTGATGCTGATGTAGCCTTAGGCAGGGCATCCCCCAGTGCACCTGTCCTGGAACTATAGATAAAGGGGAACGAGGAAGTGGTGCTCCAGGTGCTTAAATGGACATCTGTGTGAGTGAGCACTGCCTAGCCAGGGGGCATCTGGGAGCAGTGGTGGGAGCACCAATGGTTGAGGATAGTCACATTACACAAAGCCAATTCCAGCAGAATTTGGGGTTCACAGGCCATCCTACCCCTTGTCAGGAGCAGAACACTGACTAAGGTTTTGGGGGGAAAGCTCCACGTAAGGCTACAAAAGAGGGGAACAAACCAGAGAGTTGGAGACCCATAAGAAAGCTACATGATCCCACTTCACCTCCACTGTCAATAGCCCTGATGCAGGGAAAGGGCACTGGACCATCCCCAGCAGGGAGAATGAGTGCTGACCCTGTCAGCTCCCCAATTGTCAGGGGTCTACAGCTAGCCTGGCTTAACTGGTCCACTTCCAGCCTTCTCTGAACCTTTGCTGCTGTCCTGGGGACTATAGGAGAGACCCAGGTAAAGAAGGGAAGGAGGTCACTCTCATCTAGCCTGATCGCAGTGATTTTAATAGATTGGTTGTCACCCTCATAGAACCCAACACACATGTCAGATTCAGCCCCAGGTTTGAGTCAGACGTTTCTTTGGCAGCTTGGCCCTGTCATCGGTGTGATGATCATACATATCTCACAGAGCTTTTGGGGGCCTAAATGATGACATGGGGTAACATAGGAAAGCACAATGCCCAGCAGAGCGAGGGGTTCCTTTCTTTCCCTGGTGCTTTGAAATGGACTGGGAGCTCCAGCTGCCAAGGACGTAGGTGGTGTTTTAGCTACAGGGGATCCCAAAGCCACATTGCACGGGTGGGACACAGGTGTTTCATAAGCATAGTTAACAGAAAATAGAAGAGTTGACCCCTTCTCAAATCAAGGAGCCAGGTGGTGTTCCCTTCCCATATGTGTCACCCTAAACAATCCCCTATGTCCTAAATGCCTGTCCGATTTGCTGTGTTCATTCACTCCGAATTGACCTCTTTAAAGTCAGAATTGACTGAATGACAGTGAGTTTGGGTTCACGCTTCTAAATGCTGTCGTCAGAAATCATGTCTCTAGTTCTAACCTTTCTATAAAGTCTTCACTCCAATCTCTGGTAACCGGCTCCAAAATCTCACATGTCAATTTGGAACTGTCTGCCTCCATCGCACCTTGAACCCTTCCAGGGCAAGGGTAGTGCCTTATTCAGCTTTCCAGTCACATGTGTTTAGCATGCATGTTTAGTACAAAGTGGATGGTCAGTAAATGTTTTTGATTAATGATATATATTTGAATGAATAGATGAATGGACATCAGGATGATTGGGTGGGTGGATGAATGGATCAATAGACAGATGAATGACTGGACTAATGGATGGATGGATGGATGAATGAATGCATGGATGGGAGTGGTAGGTGAATGTAGCCACAATTAATGCATGTGGCCTTTGTTCCCCTAGGCATGACTTGCCAAGCACGGAGTTCCTACATGGATACTGAGGTACTCTGGGGCCACCGCTTCACACCTGTCCTAACCTTGGAAAAGGGCTTCTATGAGGTGGACTACAACACCTTCCACGACACCTACGAGACCAACACTCCAAGCTGCTGTGCCAAGGAGCTGGCTGAAAGGAAGCGGGAAGGCCGGCTCCTCCAGGACCTCCCCAGCCCGCCCTTGCTGGGGGATTGTACTGAAGCAGGGCCAGACGTGGAGGTGGAACAGCAGGACAGAGAGGATGAGCCTGAGGGGCTTAGAGGACCCCAGGGGACAAGGGGCTCTGTGTGAGGACTGCAGTCTCCCCACAACCTCCCTTTCCTGGCTCTGTAGCAACCAGGAGGGTGAGTTAGCTCAAATATGGTGTTGTGGAACTATGGAACTATCAGGCTCTGTGGGGAGGGACAGTATCTCCATCCTTCATTTTCCAGCTTAGTGCCTCCCTGAGAAGGCAGCCTCTTTCCTGGACCCACCATGGCAGTGTTGCCTCTTTCCCCCAGCCTCTGTCAGCTCTGGCTAAGGGTCATGGCTCATTTCCCTCAGTGAAAGTTACAGGGTCACCTCTGTCCTCACAGGACCCTCTCTCTGCCTTCTAGTCTTGGGTTGCTTCTGTTCTTGAGGGGTTGACACCAGAGAGGGTGGCCCCCACCCTCTCCTCAAGCCTACCACCCTAAGGCATGCAGTGGATGCAGAAGGGACCAATCCTGCCTCCCTGGGGTCCCACATGTTCAGGTCTGGGATGGGCATAGAGTGCCTATAAGGGAGTGAAATCTGTCCAAGTCATGCGAGCAATCCCTTTAAACCTGAAATCAACCACCATTTGTTGACTGCTACAGAGTATAAGACACCTGTCATTTTCTGTGAGTTGGGAACATTTTCCCCTCTGCTGTTCTGTATCCAATATAACCTATTGTTGGATTGATCTTGTCAGAGTGACTGTGATCAACTCACATAAATGAGTGTGGACATGCCTAATACATAGCTGGCACATTCTCAATCAAAAAGAGGAATTTTTTCCCTAGAAGCTTTGGTCCAAGAACCTCAAAGTACTTACAACTTTCCCTGTGGGCTTCTTCCAGAACCTCAGGATGCCTCTGGTGCGATCTGGGGGAAGGCTGAGTTTCAGAGGGAAAGATGAGTCTGTGACTGCTGAAACAGGAAGGGTCAGAGGGCAGAAAAAGGACAATATATAAAACTTCAAAATAAACACCTGTTCAAGTTGTATCCAGAAACTTCAGGGTTTCACACTTTTTTTTTTTTAAGGCAAATAATAGGATGTGGAGCACTGAGTTCTGGTCCAGGCATCCTGCGCTGAAGGGTCTTGTTGGGAATAGGGGTTGGGGCTGGGATTCAAGCCTCACGATAAAGAGAAGCAGACAGCCTGCACACCGAAGCAGGCTGCACCACACGAGGAATGCCACATGCAGGTCAGACCCCAGGACGGGAAGGCTGCATGGAGTCTGACGCCTGTAAGGAAGCATCGAGGGAGAGGAGATAAAGTGAAGCTGGACCTCTCAGCAGGGTCCTGCCACGCATCCCACCCACACCAGACTATTGCAGACCCCCTGGAAGGATCATGGCTTTCCTCGGGAAGCAACCAAGCACGGTTGGGAAAGCCAGAGGCTACGACTTGGATCCTGGGTCACCTCTGCCTCCATTTACAATTCTATAACATCCCCAAACTGGCCAAGTGACACCCCCAACCCCAGCCCCCGCCCCAATTTTCTCACCTCTGTGTGCCCCAGCCAAATCATCTTTCTCTCAGCCAATAATAGAAGCTATAAAGACTCAAGAAAAGGAAAAGATGAACACACTCCTAAATAGTTCTCTGATAAACCAGTGGCTGCATACACAGTAAGTCTTGGGTTAAGAAGATAAGAACATTCAATGTATGGCAACTCATACTTAACAACTCATACTTAACAACAAACAAAGCCTACTGTACTAAAGACTTAAGTTAAACACAATGGTTTGTAACAGTGAATGAGTGTGTACTATGTAACACTCACAAAAGCATTGCTAGGTTTCAACACTTCATCAGCCTGACAAAGACTATCAACATCCTTTTAAGTGAGATCGCATTGCCATAAACAGTGTTGAGTGTGTAACTTTGCATTAGGCTTAAGTTATCCCTTGTATCCATGCTTCCACAGGGTCAATCTGTTGCAAATATGGGTGATACATCAAAGAAAAAAGGAAAACAATTACCATAGAAAATAAAGCAACAGAAAGAAGTGAAGCCCCATCCTTGGGGAGTAGTCAGCCAACAATCACAGCCGTTTTAAAGGACAAAGTGAGAATAATAGAGCATGTGAAAGACGCTACTCTACTACAAGTTAAAATTATTAGCAAGTAATCAATGGTTTCATTATTGAAACAGAAACTTGGTTAGATCATCAAAATCAGCATAACACATGTATTAGCCTTACTTAAGTTCGAGAAAAGGCTTGAGGCTTTTCAGAAGAATCCAAACATGTGAAGGTGACTGTGATGAAGAAATGTTTAGATTTTTTATTGGCACCTACCCCACAGATTATACAATTTAACTATTCAATGATAGTAAGATTATTTTTGCAATCATCACCACAATTAATTTCAGCACATTTTCCTCTCATGTTCATTGTTGTTCATTGCTTGACCAAGAAACTGTCTTTCAAGCTTTTTCTTGTGCTTACCATTGCACCCAGCCATCCAAGCCTTTGATGACCTCTATACCAATCGTAAAGGTCTTATTTGTACCCCCAACACCACATTGCTAGGTCACCTGATGGAAGAGGGAGGCACAGTCTTCTTTATGCATATTATTTATGGTAGGCTTTCCACAAGCAGTAGGATTATCTATGATGATGTAATGAGTTAAAGAGAGTTCTGCAAGACATCTTCGATGTTGTCAAAAATTTACTGATTCTTAGGATGAAGCGAAGCAGTCAAATGTTAAGGAGTGTGGAATAAAGGTGTCCCTAATTCACAGATGCTTTTTGGAGGTTGGTAGTCAACAACATAGCCAGGTAAGCTTTGGTTGACCTGGGTCAACAGTTGCAGTTAGAAATCAACAAAAATTTTGTCTTACAGTTACTTTACTCTCATGGCAAAGAACTAACCAAGGTAAACTGCCTGGTACTAGTGTTTTCCTGGGGCGGGGGTGGGCACTGTAAAGATTCAAGGAAGGCTCAAATCCATCCACGCCATGAATTGTCTCACAGTTTTATCAGTAGTCTTTAGTGATGCATAGTATTCCACTCTATGTACCAAAGTTTCTTTGCCCATTCTTTTACGGATGGGCATTTAAGTTGTTTCCATCTTCTGGATATTTTGGAGAATTCTGCAGTGAGCATGGGTGTGCATATATCTAATTTTGCTTTGACTCTCACTTTAGGGTATATATTCAGTCATACAGTATCTCTGGGTCATACTGTATTAGTACAAATTAATTTTTTGTATTTTTGTGGGGTTTTTTTTAAGAAGTGCCATATTGATTTCCAGTCTTTTCACTTTATTTTTTACTGGGCCACCAGCATGGTATGAGGGTTCCAATCTTTCCAGACCACTCCAGCATTTGTTACTTTCTGGTTTTTTTGACTTTTCTATCAGTGCAGCCATAAGGTGGTATCTCATCACTGTTGATTTGCCTCTCAGAAGGCTAGTGATTGCAAGCATTTCTTCATGTGTTTGTTGGCTGCCTAGATGTTTTCATTGGTGAGCCAACTGTTCATGTCCTGTGCCCATTTAAAAAATTGGATCAGTACCTCTTGTTGAGGTATTACTGCTTTCTCTTGACTTTCTAGATTAGTCTCATTGGGCCGCTTTTCAAAAACCATTCTTGCTTATAAAGGTCTAAGTTATAGTCCCCATTTTCACAGATCTGAGGCCACCTTATAAACTCTGGGTGCCAAAGAGCTGTGCCAGCTGTCTAGTTGGACCACTGTAACTCCAGAAGAATTCAGAATCTCTGAAGTCCCAATGTGGTATCTCCTTGTCAGATCCTGAAAGCTTTGGGAATTAACTTCTAGCCTAAGTTTCCTTGGCATTCCTATCTGAAAATTCCCCTACAAGAGGGAAGTTCTGGAGGAACTCAGAAGAAGTTGAGATTCCACTAGTTCTCCCCTTCCCATCAATCTGACTTCTAATAAGGTATTGGACACTGTCATTCAAAGAATGCTGTTCCTGGGTCAGGGTGGTATGAGCATTGGCTCTGACACTCTCATAAGGAGGCCATCTTGCTGGTCTCTCTTTGGTCAGAGGGCCCCTTCACATCATTCCCTCTTGTTTATTGGCCAGGTGGATTGAGATAGTTAAAGTTTATTGTGCCAACCTGGTCGATAAACATATGTGAGGCTAATTGAAGGGCAGAGAGATAAATGGCTTGGTGAGCCTCGCCTTTCTGGTTCTCGGGTCCCTTGCTTTCTGATGGTCGGACCAGGGTGCCGTAGCCAGTTCCCTGCTTCAGCTGGCAAGGCTCACTTCCTGCAAGACATCGCTGAGGAGAAGCCACATGGACCTACCCCGACGCAGCCCTGGGTGCTGGAGCAGCCGTGTGGAGACCCCTGCCAGTGCTGAGATGCTTACACTTTCACTGATTTGGCTTTCCTCCTGCAGTTGGCATCATAGTGTATATTTTGGGAGATGGAGGAGGACTTTGTGGATTGGTGTTGGACATATGGGTTGATGTTGGACTTGTGGGCTTGGGCAGCACTGGGTGGGGATGTTTTCTTGATGTTCACTTACCTTTTATATAAAACTCTCTCTTATACATATGAGTTTCTGTGGATTTGTTTCTCTAATGTACTCAGACTGACTCACTTCTGCTGCTTGGGACTCTGGTTTGAACAGTTGACCAAGTAGAAATGCCCGTTGTCTATCTGGGAAGACCCTTATCTTTCCCTGCATGATCTATAATGATCGCGCATCTCTTTTCCACATGCTTATTCTTAATCCCACCTTTCCGTTTGCCTGAACCATATTGTCAGATGACATCCAGAAAGTGAAATTTTTTGGTACTGAAGTGGCCAAGAAAAAAAAAGTAAATGCCATTGCTTTTCTAAGTTCCTATTTCAACAGCATAGCTTCCCACTCAAAGTGGCCCTATAGCACAGAGTAGAATTACCCGTAGAGTTTACAAGGCCATAATATTTGCAGAAGCAATCTGCCATATCTTTGAACTCACCACAGCAGCTATGGGTTCAGACCACTGACCTTTGGCTTAGCAGCTGAGTGCTTAACCACTGTACCGCTAGGCACCCTGCATTTCCTGTCTATGCCTACAAAACACCTCTGCACGAAGCTGTGCACTCTGCCTCCTGAGCTTCTACTTAGCTCCACCTGCTACATTCTCTGGTGGCAGGATAATTGGGAAACACCTTTTTCTGATTCCCAGAGAGTTAATGAGCTGTGAAAAGAGATTATATGGGGGAAGAATTGCTTTGGGAAGAAATCACTTATTCTGCTCAGTTTCGTTTTGGGCTAGTAACTTCTTAAACCGATGTGTTAGATCTCTTTCTCTCTCTGCTTAAGTCTGTCGGTCCTCTTATTTAAAAGACACCATTACATAATTGAACATAAATCCAAGACACCAGATTTGATTTCAGAGTTCTTCCTCATTTTAAACAGATGGCTACTGGTTTCCCATTCAGATGTACTGTCACTTTCAACAAACTTGTCACTCTGGTTTTTATTAGTCGAAAATGGAATTCTCAACATGGAGACTAGTGGGGAGGTCAGTGGATATTGACAACAAAAATAGAGAATCTAAGCCAGGGGTCCTCAAATTTTTAAACGGGGCCAGTTCACTGTCCCTCAGACTGTGGAGGGCTGGACTATAGTTTTAAAAAAACCCACTATGAACAAATTCCTATGCACACTGCATATATCTTATTTTGAAGTTAAAAACAACAACAACAACAACAACAACAACAACGGGGCAAAAACACCCAGCGGGCCGGATAAATGTCCTGTGTGTGAATGCAGGTCTTGAGGCGGAAGAGTAGCTTGTATTTAAATAACTTAAAACAGGTTTGGGTGACTGCAGCATTGTGGTGGAAGAACTCAGATCAGGCCTGCTTGAAGACATGACCTTGAGTTTATAGTTTATTCCAAGTGCAATGAGCAATATTTTATCATAGGCACTGTAGAATTTTTACATAGATGTGCTCTGGCCTCAGTTGCATCCCCCTTTCATTCTTCCAAAACTCAAACTAAACTCACTTGAGTGGACACAGGCTCATA